AAAAAAAAAAAAAAAAAAAAAGTGTAAAATTGAGACTGGTTGCTGGGCATGATTATAAAGGCCTACAACACCCCAGCTAATTGGGCAGCTGAGGCAAAAGGATCAAAAGTTCAAGACCTGCCTGTGCTACAGAATGAGTTTAAGCCTAGCTTGAGCAACTTATTGAGACTCTGTCTCAAAATGAGTAAAATGAAGACTGGAGGTATAGCGCAGCAGTAATAGTAGAGTACTGACGTAGCATCCACAAGGTTTTGAGTTCAGTCTCCAGTACTAAAATCAGAGGACTAGGGATACAGCTCAGTGGTAATAACAGAGTACTGACCTAGCATCCACAAGGTTTTGAGTTCAGTCTCCAGTACTAAAATCAGAGGACTAGGGATACAGCTCAGTGGTAATAATAGAGTACTGACCTAGCATCCACAGGGTTTTGAGTTCAGTCTCCGGTACTAAAATCAGAGGACTAGGGATACAGCTCAGTGGTAATAATAGAGTACTGACCTAGCATCCACAAGGTTTTGAGTACAGTTCCTAGTACTTAAAAACAGGAAGGCTTGGGGTATGACTCAGTGGTAGGTGCTTGCCTAGAATGTAGAAAGCTCTGGGTTCAATTCCAATTACTACCAAATAGAAAAATAGTCTTCCAGACATGATGGTCCATGCCTATAATCCCAGCCAGCCCTTGAGAGGTTGAGGTAAAGAATTGCCATTTGTTTGAACCTGGGCTACATAGTGAGTACCAAGTCAGTCAGTATTACAGTATAAGCCTCTGTCTCAAAACAGCAACAATAACAAAAAGAATTGTGACTTCAGTGATAGAGCACATGCTTAGTGTATGTAAAGCCCTAGGTTTAACTCCCAACTCATTCAGATAGTTATTATGACCCTGGTTGAAAGCATTGAGATTTAGGCAGGTTAAATAACTTTTCAAGGTCACTTGGCTAGCAATGAGCAAAGCCCAGTTTCTAATATAGTCTGTCTGATTCCAAAGCTGTATACCTAACCAGGCATGGTGGTGCAGTCTTTTAATTCTGGTACTTGGATAGGCAGAAGCAGATGGATCTCTGTGAGTTTGAAGCCAGTCTGGTTAATACAGTGAGTTCCAGGCCAGCCAGAGCTACATAGTGAGACCCTTTCTCAAACAATAAAAACAGTAAGATGACCATGTTGAGTTGTAGGGTCTCCTTTTAAGTTGGGGTACCTTTGGGTCACCAATAGATGGTCTCCCTGGGTTGAGGGGACAGGAAAGAATCATTTCAACTGCTGAGCCTCAAAGAATGTCCAACCTTGAAATCACTAACACACAGCAAATTGGGGGTGGAACTGAATAGGAGCTGTGCCAAATTCCTTCTGCAGCCAGGCTGGTCACCCAGCTCATGCAGAGGATCCATGGAGGAACACCAGCTTTCACGGGAGGTTGTGGTCACTAGTTTTCATTATTCCTCCCAGGTAGACGAGACTTAAAAGGATATTCCTGCCAAGTGTCATGGTGCAGGCCTGCAATCCAACCATTCAAGAGGCTGAGGGAGGAGGATTGTGAGTTTGATTGTAAGCCAGCCTGGGCTACATGAGATCATGTCTCAACAAAACAATACACCAAAAACAAAATTAAAGCTAGACATGGTAGGCCGGGCATGGTGGTGCATGCCTTTAATCCCAGCACTCAGGAGGCAGAGACAGGCGGATCTCTATGAGTTCAAGGGTAGCCTGGTCTACATAGTAAGTTTCAGGACAGCTAGAGCTACAGGGAGACCCTGTCTCAAAAAGGCCCAAAAAAAAAAACCAAACAAACAAAAAACTAGACATGGTAGTATACAATTGTAATCCTGTCTCAGAAGGCAGAGGCTGGAGGATCACTGTAGATTTGAGGCCAGCTCAGGCAACATTGTGAGTTCCACAACAGTCTGAACTACATACAGGGTGAGACCCTGTCTCAAAAAAAATTTTTTTTAATTAAAAAAACAAATCAAGAATAAAAATAAAGCTCTTGACCATTCTATACTATCATAGCTATAGCAGCTCTCCTATATCTGAAATAAATGCACACATATGGACAGATGTGTATAGTGATTTGATTAAGCTGTCTCCCTGTGGTCTACACAGCCTTTCATAACTACATACTTAACATAGAAGTTCCCAAACAGGAGAGCTCAGTGCTGTATTGTAGAATTACAAAGCATCTAGAGAGCCATCTGGCTACCTCCATGCTTGATAGACACAGAAATGAGAGGGAAGAGGGATGTGCCTATTGACACCCAAAATGTCAATAACAGAACTGACACAGTGTTTCTACAAGCTCCAGTACCAGAAGTAAGGCTTGCCTTTCAGAGCCGTCTTAAAGGGTGACTGATAGACATGGCCTTGACGGTGACAATAATCTCAGTCAGGAAGAGGAGAAGGACCTGTCCTGGTAGTCTCATCCATGAAGAGTGGACACTGACCCAATCTGGGGCTATTGGTAGAAAACTGGGATCTCCTTCAGGCACTGTTAGGTTGTCAGGATACACTGATGAGGGGAAGCCATGGATGTAGGACAGGCAGCAGACACAAAGCAGAGAAAGAAGAGCATAAAGGACAGAGGTGGGTGGAATCATTGGAGAGCGAGCGGCAGCTAGGGATCTAGAGAAAGAATTGAGACCTGCTGTGAGGTTGCTTCCCTGGACTAAAGCCCCACAGCTGGGCTCTAGAAGGGCATACTCACCTCCATGAAGGGGACGGCCCGGCAAGAAATGTCCCCCAGCAGCCTCTGCTTGGTGATCTCGTTGAAGATGACAACAGGGAGGCAGAAGAAAAGGACCAGGAAATCCCAGAGGGCCAGGCTGGCAAGGATGGAGTTCCAAGCACTCTTCAAGTAGTAGCTGTGCCACACGATGCACATGACAGACAGATTACCCACGATACCCACAGCAAAAACCACCAGAGCCAGGAGCATGATGGCATAGGCACTGTAAGAGCTCTCTGTCACTGGATACAAGGGGTTCTGAATCTGCAGCCTCTGACTTGGAGTCCCTGTCAGGTTGCCCCTCAGCTCCTGCCCACTATCTGGGGTGACCCCATCCTTGTCTGGATTGGAGCTGGTAGCCATCAAGGGCTTGGTGGGCTGCAGGCCAGCAGGGCGGATGAGCCGGGGGTACTCAGCCCATTCCTCAGGCACATAGTGCTGCACTTCCTTGGGCCCCTCATCCTTGGTGCCTCTCCGGGGTCGGTTCTGCTGCTCCTGGGCCTTGGCTCTATGCCCACCCAAGGGTGAGGAGGCAGCCCCAGAGACCCTGCTTGGCTCCACAGCCAATACCACAGCAAGAGAGACAGCCAGGGGCCACAGCCACTGCATGGCCAGAGAAGTAGGATGTAGCTGCCCCAGAGAAAGCAGGTACCCAAGTGCTGGGCGGAATTAAGAGAGACAGCTGGCCTCTGGGTCCGCCTCCAGTCAGGCGTCTGGTATGGCCGGCCCTCCCTCCCACCCTGCTGGCCATGATCTGGCCAGGGCCCTCTGCTGGACTGAGCAGTCTGTGCTCCCCTACACATTGCATCCTCCAGCACACCGCTTACTCAGGCTCTAAGACCACAGTCGGTCAGACTGATTAACCCTCAGAGGAACCTGCTCTGGGCACTGGAAATCAGGGAAATGTAGCTCACTTGCCAAGGGGGGAAGGGGCAGACTGGAATTGGGTGACAGGTCTCCTGATTCTACCCAATTCCAAGGCAGCTACTACATTCAAAACAGAATCATAGGCTCATGTCTGTAATCCTAGCACTTGGGAGGCTGAGGTAGAAGGACAAGAGTTCAAGGCCAGCTTGGGCTGCATAGCAAGACCCTGGGTTTTGTTTTGTTTTGTTTTGTGTTTTAAAAAGCCTGGGGCTGTAAAGAAATGGCTCAGCAGTTAAGAGCACTGGGTGCTCTTGCAGAGGACCCAGGTTCAATTCCCAGCACCCACATGGCAGCTAACAACTGTCAGTAACTCCATTTCCAGGGGATCTGACGCCCTCTTCGGACCTCTGCAGGCTCCAGTGCACTTACACATATGTGGGAAAAATACTCATGCACATAAAATAAAAATTAAATAAATAAAAGAGAATAGGGAGCGTGCATGAAGTCAAAATCAAAACTGAATTACAGCTGCTGAAATTGTTGGACACTTAGGTACACCACTCAGCTGAGTCCTACTACACTCTGTGGGTAAGTGCTATTGTGACCCATTTCCCAGATTTGAAATATAAGGTTATATGAGACAATTTTATAATGAGACAATTACTGGCCTCATAGCTAACTGAAGGCAGAGTCAGCTCAGAACATGGATCTGACTCCAGAACCTTTGAACTCAATGCTGGTCTCGGTGGACAAGAGCCCACTGCTTTCCTCCTAGCCACACAAACTCCCCAAGGAAAGCAGTAACAAGAAAAAGTTTTAAACAACGCATTATGGGGTGGGAGTGGGAGTTGGTAGTGTTTGCCTAGCATGTTAAGGCCCTGCGCTCCATCCCTAGCACTGAAACAATAAAATAAAAACACACCATGTTGTGATCCAGACACATTTTCAGTATTTGAAAAGCAAGTTCCAGGGAGCTTTCAGTCCAGAGGGGAAATAAATACGAAATTCAATAATTACAACTCAGTGTGATAGATTCTATGAAAGGCAGGGTCAACAGTGTAGGGGGAGGCCAGAGGAGCCTGGGGCAGTCTAGAAGGTCTCCAAAGCAAGGTGGCTTTTGAATGAATCCTGAAAACTACCTGATAGCTTGCCTGGCAGACTCTCAAGGGAAGCATGGAAGGTTGTTCTCAGGAAAGGAACCAGTGCTTGCAAGGGCTGGGCATGTGAAAGTGGGTAACATTCCTGCCAAACAGCAAGACTGTGCAGAAAGCTGGGGTGCAGGGGAGATGGGAAGAGGGCATTGAGGTTGAGGCAAGAGATCAGCAGAGAAAGGAACAGAGAGGATCTTTATGCTAGACCAAGGAATTGAGATGTTATCCCAAAGACAAGGTACTACAGGAGCACTGATTTGACCAAGTTACCTTAGGGGTCCAGGATGTGCTCTGAGCTCCTGCCAGACAGAGAGATGGAGTGGGAATCAAGGGAAATGCAAAGCTTCCAGGAGAACCAGCAGTACAGAGGGCCTCAGACTGCAGAGAGTGTGGGAAAGATCAAGGCTCCACCAATGCAGAGGTGGGAGAAGGGGCACAAGACTCTGTACTTCACAGATGGAGCTCCACTCACCAGGGGTTGCTGGGATGGAGAAGCAGGAAGGTGGTTTCTGTAGATCAGAAAGGCCAAAGCAGACTTGGGACAGGGCCAGCTGAAAGTCACTTACACAGTCTGTTGGCAAGCATTAATGGCCACACCCACCAAGAGTCCCAATCTGGAAGCAGCTTTCCCAGACTTGCTAATTAGGAACAATGCCATCCTACCCAGTAGGTTCCAACATGCAGTGTAAAAATAGAAGTCCCTTGGCTAGGAGTGGTGGTGAAAGCCTTGTTCCAGCACTCGGGAGGCAGAGGCAAGCGGATCTCTGTGAGTTCGAGGCCAGCTTGGTCTACATAGTGGGTTCCAGGCCAGCTGGAGTCCCAGGAGGAAAAGAGAAGGAGGAGAAGACAAAGAAAAGAACAGGAGCAACCACCCTCTGTTGAAGAGTCTTGAGCTGTCGGAAGACTCTGAGGACTCTTGGGGAGCTGACTGAAGTCCGGCATCTCATCTAGGAACTCAGCTTCATCACTGCCACCTAGGCCATCTCAGTGAAGGAAGGAAGCTGGGACCCCATACCTCATGTCCTCAGGAAGTTTGGGAGAAGGAACAAGGCCCCACCCTGAGCATCACATCAGTTTACGCTCAGAACCTGGCTTCCATAATTCCCACTGGAGATTAAGTGTAATTATTTGGGTAAATAGAGTCATTATCTGTATTGAACGTTCACCAGAGGTCAGGCTCTGTCCTAAACACTCAAGATCACCACCAATTAGTCTTTGCACTATTACACAAGCTCAGAGAGATGAAGCCACACAGCTACTGAATGAAAGCTGAGGTCCAAAGGAAGGTTTATCTAACTCCAAAGCTAAAGCCCTCACCAGCCCTTTTGTGTACTTTACAGAATTTTAACACTGAGTGTGATCTTAAAGATGATCTACATTAGGCCTCCTATTTGCCACATGTGGAAACTAAAGACCAGAGAGGTTAAGTCCCAAGGTCAAGGTCCCAGCAATCACATCTCTGCTGTGGGACCCTCAGCTCTTCAAAGTCACAGGTCTCAACGAGGCAAATGTTAGTTCTCTGTTGCTCCCTATGCTCACAGATATGCCCACAGCATATGGTACTTGTACCTTGAGGGACTAGGGGGATGACTCAGTAGGTAAGAGAGCTTGCTGTGAAAGCACAAGGACCTGAGTTCAAATCTCAAGACCCATGTGAAAACCCAGCCATGACTGCAAATACCTATAACTCTAGTGCTGAGGGGCAGAAGGTAGAGGACAGGATGATTGCTGGGGCTTGTTGAAGCCAACCTAGCTCCAGGTTCAATGAGAGGCTTTGCCTCAGGGAAATAAGACAATAGAGCAAGACACCCCAAACACAGGCATATGGCTGTGTATATACCACACACACACACACACACACACACACACACACACATTCAAATGCTTGAAAGGGCACCCATTGCTGGTCTCCATTAGGACAGTTGGAACACCAGAGGCCACTAGGTGGAACCCAATGGTCACTGTTGGAGGCTGAAGCCAGTCCCAGGCCTTGGTTCCTTCCTGGCTTTAGCTCATCCTACAGTGCCCAAACCCAGCCCACAGCTTTCCTGAGCTGCCCACGGAGATGATCAAAAGAGAGAGGATAGAGGATTTCCAGGGACCAAAAGACAGGATGCTGTATGCCCAACATTTCACTACCCCTCCTAAGGTCCCCAACCCTCAAAGCACTCTTCACTTACCCCTGCTTCAAGAAGATTCTGGCTTCTGGACCAAGCTGGCGGCAGCACTTGTTCAGAGAACCCCAGGCAGGCACTGAAGAGTTAGTTGCCTGGGAATGTCTCTCCTTGAGTCTCTTGTAATCCCAGGAATTCCCCATGCTTCCCTTTGGGAATTTCCCCAATGTTGGCTACAGACTTGACACTTAGGTGGGAGGGAATGGGAGAGAAGCTGGGGTTGTCCCTGGCAGTGAACTAGGTGAGGACTCTCATCCAGGAAAATAATCAGAGTCCTTATTCCACTAAGCAAATGCTCTACACCAGCCTTCTCCACTCCGTGTTACATCAACTGTCTGCTCTGGACTTGCAGCCACTTAACTAGCCTAAGCCGTGCTGGTGACTTTGGCCAAGTGTTTAAACTCTGCCTCAGCTTCTCCTCTGTAATCTGGGGCAGTAACAGGCAGTAACAGTAACAGGCAGTAACAGGCTCCCAAGAAGATGCTATGACTTCATTAATATAATTGCCTGGGGCAATGTCAGACACCTGGTAAGTACTATCTATGTAACTATTAGCCACTGGCAAAAATTAATTCACTTTTTCTCTCAGCAGTGTGAAGAAGAGTGCTGTTTATTATCTTCATTTTACACGTTTGGAAATTGAAGCAGAGAGGCAGGAGACAGCCAAAGACATGGAGGGCAGATTCTGAAACAAGTTTCCCTTCTGCCAGGGACAGGACATCCACATGGGGCAGCTGGTACTGTATAGCGCTAGCGGAGGTATAGTCTGACCCACCCCACCCCTAGGCCTACTGTGTCCATTCTCCACCTCTGGACTCTGGAGGACAGACAAAGGCTACTAGGGGGAAAGTATGCTTCTAGAGTCAGGGGTCAGAGGCAGGAGAGATGGCTCAGCAGTTAAGAGCACATGCTGCTCTTACAGAGGACCCAGTTTGGTTCCTAACACCCCCATGGCAGCTCACAACCATCTGTAACTCCAGTTCCAGGGACTTTGATGCCCTATTCTGGACTCTGAGGGTACCAGTACATATGGTACACATACATATATGCAGGCAAAACATTCATACACAAGATAAAAATAAATCTTAAAAATAAATTATTTCTTTAAAAAATGATTCAGGGGTCAATACTGGGCACAAGATCATACCTGTCATCCCACGATTCGTTTAAATGTGAGGCTACTGTAGGCTACAGAATGAGACGCTGTTTACTGCTGGGCATGGTGGCACACGCCTGTAGTCCCAGCACTTGGGAGGCAGAGGCAGGCAGATCTCTATTAGTTTAAGGCCAGCCTGGTCTACATAGTGAGTTCCAGGGCAGCTGGAGCTAAAGGGAGACCCTGTCTCAAAAAAAGGAATGAGTTTTCTACTGACCCTATATCTATTCTTCCCTCTGAACCCCACCTCAGCCATTCCCCACTACACCTACCCACTGTGTTTCTATAAATAAAGGATGAGACAAAAATAATATACAGATAATCTTAAAATTTCTATGGTCACAGTTT